TTTTATCTAGCCTAGCCAGTCACAGAACCCCAGACTGGTTTGTTTTGGAAAGGACCTTCAAGATCATCCAGTTCCAACCCCCCTGCATGGGCAGGGACACCTCCCACCAGCCCAGGTTGCTCCAAGCCCCATCCAACCTGCCCTTCAACACTGCCAGGGATGGGGCAGCCACAGCTTCCCTGGGCAACCTGGGCCAGGCTCTCACCACTCCCAAAGTGAAGAAATTCTGGTTTTTGCATATTTGCCTGACTAACTCAATTTGGAAAGCCCAGCTGCAATGTTACACCTGAAGTCAGGACAGCCTGGAGGGCTCCCCCATAACACGTCACCTCCTTGCACTTGTGGTTTGCACAACATTCTCTCCTCTAATTACTCCCTCAAGCAGCAAACACTAAACCTGATCCCTCTAACATCACAGCCAGGACATCCTTGCAGCTGCCTCAGGTCCCTCTGCCTTTCCTGGCACTTGCTTCCAGGCCCTTTGTCTCTCAGAGGTTTCAAAAGGCAGTACAAGGGAGCAAAGTGCTGCACTAGCTGCTCCATCAGCTGCAGTAAATCTATTCACCTTTTCTTTGCATGTTCCCAGCTGTCATTTATGGCCAGCCCTCCCATATTTTATTCAAACTGAGTGGAGTCCTGCAAAAACCTTGACGCTGCTGAAACTGATGGGTCCAGGGCACCTTAGTGCCTCCTCTGCCCCTGCCAACTACAGAGTTAGGAGCTCTTATGGCTTCACTGCAAACTTGAATGCAGTTGTCAAGATGAAACACCTCCACAAAGCTACCTGCCAGCTATTCCAAGCACATCCCTGCCATCAAACAAGCCCTGCAGCACTGGCTGGAGATCTGAAGCTCTCAGGTCAAGGAGAGCACTGTTAGCAATAGCCCATGTGGCCTTTAGCCAAATAAAGGAGAAGCAAACTTGAAGCTTCAAGAGCCCCATCCTTGGTCCCTGGCTGCTTTAGCAACCAGGGCATTACTCAATGTGCTGACCTGCTCTGTGATACAGGAATCAAACTAATGGGCTTCTCACCCTGACAGCCAGCATCAGAGGAACTTCAAGGTTATCACTCTCCAAGCCACAAACCAATTTAGCATTTAAAAGATGATCTCTGACGTGCTGCTTCATCAGGCCCTCACTTGGAATCCTCTGCTTTCTGGGCTGCCTGCTTGACATGTGATCTTCCAGGGGGGAGGGTTTGAGTTTGGTAGGTTGGTTTTATTTTCCCTTCATGTTCTGCATCAGTTGCTTCCATTATAGAGAGGGAATAGATATCACAATTGCAGAAGTATTTGCCTGGGCCACCCCTGCAGCTTTCTTCTTTTATCTAATAAACATGAAGAAAGAAGACTCTTACACACAGATCATTTGAATTCTGTGAATACAGAAATCCCCCCCAGTCTGACTGGAATTCAGCAGCAGAGCACTGGAGCTGAACTAAGTCTGTTAGAATGAAGTGTATTTATGGACACTCAGAGCACAGGGTGGGCTTTTTTTTCCCCTCTGAGGGTTTTCTTTTCCTCCCCCTTCCCCTACAGAGCTCGTATCAATTAGCTTGATAAACATTTATTGACATGCTTAGGTAATGCAGGATAAACAGCAAAACCTGATACACTTTTAGCTTCCTGCCCAAAATGTCCCCATAGGCAGCTTAATACACACACACACACACACACACACATATATATATATATTAGGAGAACTCTTGTTTTAATGTTTTTATGATAACTTAGGATGTGCCTTCTGGGGTGCTGAATATTTCATTTCAGCTCTGTGAAATGTTGAAAACCCAGCCTGATGCCTGCCATTTGATGTGGAGAGGTGGAAATAAAAATCCCTGCTCCCAGCAACGGGCAGTGCAACCCAGCAGTGTGTGGTACATGGGAAGGGCTGTTCAATTTTGATATAAAAAGGAGCATGTGCCTTTTTTTAAATCAGGACTTTTCTCCCAGTGTTCCAAATTATTGAATGTGTCAATGGTGCTATCACAGGATTTTGGGCTGTTGTAAAAGTGCCTGTAGCAATAATTTCACTTTCACTCCTCTGTATTGAATGGATCATGAGGAAGACATGGGGATCAGCTCTAATAAGGTGGTGTATTAAGGGGGAAGCTCTCCAGGTTGTCCTGACTTCATGGGTCAAGTTGCAGCTGGGCTTCCCAAACTGAGCTAGTAGGTCCAAAATGCAAACCCAAGAAGTTCTTTGGTGTGAGGGTGGTGAGAGCCTGGCCCAGGTTGCCCAGAGAAGCTGTGGCTGCCCCATCCCTGGCAGTGTTGAAGGGCAGGTTGGATGGGGCTTGGAGCAACCTGGGCTGGTGGGAGGTGTCCCTGCCCATGGCAGGGGGGTTGGATCTGGTTGATCTTTCAGGTCCCTTCCAACCCAAACCATTCCATGATAGTGGGATTTCCAAATGCTTTTCAACCTTTCAACACCTACATGCTACAAAAACATGGCCATTAACTTGTTAGCCTTCCAAGTCTCCTCTTCTAAAAATAGATGGTCATTTTCTTCCCTTTTGAAGATGTTATCATTCCTTCCATCTATAGGAATAATATTTCCAGGAAGATTTGAATTTTGCACACATTCAGAAAGCTTTTCCTGGTTATTCAAGCTGTTAGGTTTGTTGTAGTCAAGCAATTTAGGTTAAATATGCCTTTTGCAAAGGATGTGAATAGCTGAAATTGCAACTGAACTGCAAGGGTAATGGCATGAAAAGAGAGTTAATCTTTGTTTAACTTGCAGAACTTCTTCCATTTGCTGCACTGGGAGCTGCCAATGCCCCATTTCTTTTGCAGAAGGGGGGTTATTTACTTGTGATAATAGGCACATCAAATCATTAACGTGCTGTCATCAACAGCTGTGTCAAACTGTGTTCAAAGTGTTGGTGACATAAATAACGTGTCCAACGAGAAGCTGGGAGTTGCAAACAGGGCATAATCCTTTTATGAGAAGGAAAAGGAATCCCTGGTTATAAAATAGCTACAGACACTTTTCAGGGCATGAGGGAGGGCAGGGGTGTTCAGCCTGGAGAGGAAAAGGCTCCAGGGAGACCTTAGAGCACCTTCCAGTGCCTGAAGGGGCTCCAGGAAAGCTGGGGAGGGACTTGGGACAAGGGCAGGGAGGGATGGGATGAGGGGGAATGGATTAAAACTGGAAGAGGGAGATTGAGGTGAGACATGAGGAGGAAATTCTTTGGTGTGAGGGTGGTGAGAGCCTGGCCCAGGTTGTCCAGAGAAGCTGTGGCTGCCCCATCCCTGGGGGTGTTGAAGGGCAGGTTGGATGGGGCTTGGAGCAGCCTGGGCTGGTGGGAGGTGTCCCTGCCCATGCAGAGGGTTGGAACTGGATGATCTCGAAGGTCCCTTCCAACCCTGATGACCCTATAACTCTTTCCTGCATTGTAATGAAGCCTCTATAACATTACAGAAGTGCCCTGTGCCAATGTGCAGCTTTTGAAGCTAATTCTGGTGGTTTTCCTCCAGGAACTGCAACTAGAGCATTAAAGCAGATGAAAAACAGATCAGGGTTTGACTTCTCTTCATGTTATTAAACAGTCCATTTTATTCTAAGTTCTCATGGTGCTATTGTTAGTGTGCCTGAAATACTCCCTAAGTTGAAGCTTCCAGCTCTTGCTTTTTCTTTTGCTGCACTATTAATTTTCTGAACTAACAGCTCTTTTCATTTGCCTGCTTTGAAGGAAAACCTGGTACCCAGCTTCTCCAGTTAGTGTGTGTGAGTGGGACTAAGTACTGGCCAAGAAAATAATGTCATGAAAGAGAATCCCAAGGAGCTGTTGGTGGATTGTTATATTAATAGAAGGCTTTGATTTCAAGTCTGGAATAGAAATAATGAATCTTTTCCTTTAGCAGCAAAAGGTATTTGGAATCTTTTCTTATTGTGGAAGTTGTTGTTTTCATTTGCTCTAATGAGGTAAAAATTGCCATGTGATGAAGAAGAAGAAACCCACACATTTTTGCATTTCTGTGCAGCTGTTTCAAAACCCAAGGTTGGGGAGAAGCCTGTTCTGGGGTCTAAAGATCTCTAGGTAAAGCTGGAAGCACCTCAGAGGGGTTGACCCTGGACAGGGTGGGACAGGCAAGGCAGGGATGTGGCAGAAACTTCTGATTTATTGGGATATAGTGGAAATGAGCCTGAATTCCCACTCAAATATTGTCACTGAGGCTTGAGGAGACTGTGTGGTCTAAAACCACAAGTTGTACGTGTTCTGTCTGTTGAGGAATGATGAGAAACTTCTTCATGTAGCAGAGAAAAAGGACAAGAAGGAGATGGAGGGGCTGGAGCTTGTCCAGAGAAGGGCAAGGGAGCTGGGGCAGGGTCTGGAGCACAAGGGTGAGGAGGAGCAGCTGAGGGAGCTGGGGGTGTCCAGGCTGGAGCAAAGGAGGCTGAGGGGAGACCTTCTGGCTCTGCAGCTGCCTGAGAGGAGGTTGGAGCCAGGGGGGTCGGGCTCTGCTCCCCAGGAACAAGGGATGGGACAAGAGGAAATGGGCTGCAGTGGTGCCAGGGGAGGCTGAGCTGGGATGTTGGGCAGCATTTCTTGCTGGCCAGGGTTGTCAGGCCCTGGCCCAGGCTGCCCAGGGCAGGGCTGGAGTCCCCATCCCTGGAGGGGTTTCCAAGCCATGTAGATGTGGTGCTGAGGGACATGGGGCAGGGCTGGCCTGGGCAGGGCTGAGTTAATTAAAGTGCTGATGATCTTTGAAGGTCTTTTCCAACCACAATTGTTCCAAGATTTTATGCAAGTTGATGGATGTTCTGTTCCCCAAGTGACACATAAGGATGGGGCCTCCATGTTCCTGCAGCAGGTGCAAGTCTCAGGTGTTCAGTGCTGTGGTGGGGCTGGTGTGCAGCTTCCAGAGCTGGCACTTCCACCACCTCCTCTGCTTCTTCTCTATATAAATGGCCTGTTCACATGGTTTATCTCTTGCTGCCAACTGGAGAGCAGTGTCCAGAGTAGTTGGTAGTGAGGAGACCATTGTTCTGGTGAGATGGAGGATGATCCACCAGGCTTAAGGTTTCTGATAGATGGTGGGGCTGCACCCATGGCTTTATCTACAGCAATCAAAGTGACACCCAACTATTTTTGTGCTTGTCACTCTGAAAGATATCTCAGTGCACCTGGCTGGAGCAGATCCTGTAAGCAATAAGTTCTCCAAACAAAGCTCAAGAGGTACAATGGTGGTGTTCTCATCTCCAACCCTGCTGCAGGTTGTAGCTCTGCTGTATCTCCATGTTTGACATACAAAAGAGCTGTTTATCTACAAATACTGCTTTCTGTAGTGATAATAAATAAATGCATGCTTGTTTTTCCCTGAGTGGGGAAACAACTTGCAGATAAACACAGTTGAATTTCTGATGTTTGCCAGCTGGATCTTCGGTGCCTCCGGGGGGTTGTGCGGTAGCTCCTTAGAGTTTCCCTGTGTAAGAGAGTGTTCCTCCCTCCCTGGAAATATACAACCTGTATTTACTCCTTGCCTCTTCTGGTTTGCTTGTTCCAGGTGCCCAGATGAAGCCTTTTACATCCTTGAGGTTCTTGACTGAGCCCTCAGATGCTGTCACCACGCGGGGAAGCAACGTGCTGTTGAACTGCGCGGCCGAATCGGATCGAGGAGCCCCCGTTGTGAAGTGGAAGAAGGATGCTGTCTTCTTAAACCTGGCAGTAGATGAAAGGAGGCAGCAGCTGGCCAATGGATCCCTCCTGATAGAAAACATTGTCCACTCCAGGCACCACAAGCCAGATGAAGGTCTCTACCAGTGTGAAGCATCTCTAGAAGGCGTCGGAGCCATCATCAGTCGGGCAGCCAAGGTCATGGTGGCAGGTAATGAGAAGCAGTCTTACTTTTAGGATTGCTGGAAATGCTTTTTTTTGTGTGAAGCTGTTTTTTTTTAATCTCTAAGAGCAAAAAAATGTACATAAAATCACTTCAGGTGCTGTGGGTTTTCTTTTTTCTCCCTTCAAAAGAAGGAAAGCTAGATATGATCCTTCTGCGGCAGTAATTTCCTTCTGACAAGGTATTATTCTTGTTTAAATATGTCTAATCATCTCTTTGTTGCTTTATCTGCTGCATATTTATTGTCTTCAAAATAGAGAAAACCTCTGAAGTTGGAAATTAACTGCTTTGCTGATGAATTGAAGATCACACACACAAAAAAGCAGCAGACCTCGGTAGGGCGTGGAATGTACAGATTTCTGTGGTTCAGGGACCTTTTTGTAGACAAGAGCACATTATGCAGCTCATTGGAATTGGCAGCCTCTTTGTATTGCCTTGAAAACCCATGTGCAGCTAGAAGGCAGAAGGAACAGGGGTTTGTTACCAGGAGAACACTTGCAGCTCCTCAGGGACTTAACTACATTTGGGAAAGATGAAAATTGAAAGGGTGTGTAGAGGGATGGAGCAAGTCTTCCATCATCTCCTTATTGGGGGAGAAAGAAGTTTGGAAATCATGCAAATAAAAGCTGCAAAGGAACCCAGAATCACTTGGTAACTGATACCAGCTAGAATGTTTTTGAGGTCAGAATAGTTGTCTTTGTGATCATTTATTTAAGGATTTTTCCAACTCGAAGGGAAGTCTTTTTGTTTCTGCTCTTTGGATGGATGGAGCTTCTGGGTGTTGATGATCTCTTTGACTCAGACCTGTTAGCAAATGCCCTTGTTGCCTTGCTGAGGGCTGAGCACTATCTACAGGTTCTAACTTCATAACCTTGGGAAAAGAGCATAAAACAGTCAAAAAAGCTGAGTTTGTTTGAGGTGCATTGACCAGGGGAAGGAGCAGCTGGTGTCTGGGCTTGCTGTCCTGCTACATTTTGAACAACAAAGGGATGGGAAACAAAGCTCAAGCCAGGAGCTCCACAGCTTTTCCCCATCCATTGTCTTCCTAAAGTCTAACTAGTTATTCTGGGAGGGAGTCCAGGCAGCTCATTTCTCAGCTGGTTTCATCAGTGTCCCTCATGACCTTGGTGCCTCTTTTAGTCTTAAGGTTTGTTATGCTGAAAATAACTTCCCTTCCTCCAAACCCTTCTTTCACCAGCCAGAAAAAGTAGATTTTTCTCATCAAACCTGATTAAAACAGGTAATAAGTGTTCTTTCCTAATCTATCTCCTCCCCACCACTTTTCAGTCTGAATCTCTGGTCACTTCATCTCCTCAGGGTGTAGGATTTCTGAACAGATTTCTAGGATATCATAAACAGTTTCTAAGCCTAGGATTCCTACCCAAAGTGCTGGAGAGCCCCCCAGATGCACAGATATGGGTGATGCTGTTGTCAGGTCACCCTCAGAGGGAACCTGCAGGGTTTGCCAGGCAGGGCTTTTTGCCAGTAGAAGTTGTTATTTGGCCTTGATCTTGGTTGTTGGCAACCTGGAAGTAATAAAACCTCTCCAGTTATTCCTTGGAAGTGAACACATCTGTGTGAGTGGAAGTGCCCAGGATTTTGAGCTTTTCCTTGGAAAGCCTGTGCTGTGTGTGTGTCCTGATCTCCTCTCCCTGTGGTGCTGGGGGGAAGTTTGGGGTGAGGAGGGGTTACTCCAGTCCAGAACAGTTTGGCTGAAACTGGAAGAGCCAGTAAAGATGTCCTAGCTGGGAGGAGTGAAGAGAAGAAGAGGTGATGTGCATAAACTGAGGGTACTGGGTGTTTATTGTACCAGGATTATTTTTCCTACAAGGATGGTGAAATGGGATGTCCAGCTGTGTTGTGGAGCCTTCATCTTGGAGATACTCAAGACCCAGCTGGATCCAACCCAGTACACCCTGCTGGTAGCTGCCCCTCCTTTCTAGACAGTGTCCAATGGTCCCTTTTGACCTCTGATTCTTTCCAGTTGGTGTGCAAACAGTTCATATGATGGGGTGGAATAGAAGGTGAATGGCAGTGCAAATTGGCAGCAAGTCCTTCAAGCAAGGTGTTTTTCCTCTCTGAAGGGCAGGTATTCCTGAGTGAGCAGAATTTGAGTGGTGTGTTTTTGTGGTTTTCTTTTGTTTGGAGGGAGTTGCTGTGCAATGGTGGCAGAAGAACATCATTGACTTAAGGCCCTGGCAGATGGAAACACGATGGAGTAAGGGAAGGAGGAATGAAGGGCTCACACCCCAGTGGGTTGTGTTAATCATTGCTTGGCAAAGCTAATCAACTGTGTTCAGAAAAGCCTCTTTTGACAGAGGATTGGGACTGGAGGGAGCTATGAATCATGTTCTAAGCCTTGAGGATGGAATCCTGATCTGTTACATAATGTCCTCTCTGCTCAACAGAGCTTTTCTGGGCAGCCTGATGGTCTCATCCACTGGAGTTCATAGAACCACAGAATGTGTGGGGTTGGAAGGGACCTTTAAAGGCCATCTAGTCCAGCCTCCCCTGCAGTGCACAGAGACCTTCATGACAGGTTGCTCAGGGCCTTGTCAAGCCTGACCTTGAAAGTCTCCTTGTTGATGGTGGTGGGTGGGATTGCACCATCCTGATGTGTGGAAGAGGGTGTTCATGTCAGCAGCACATATTCTCATTTCCCTTGGCCTCCCATTTCTGTGCCTGATTTCATTCTTGCAAGGTTTTCAGGCAGGGGAGCATGAGCTTTAGCATTTCAGGTGGGCTTTAGGGAGAGATTCTTTCCCTCAATTCCACTCTCATCTTGGGTACTGTTCCTTGGAAACTCTAGGTCTGTTCCCAGCATTTGAAATACTTACTGTGCTGTTTGGCACCATAGAATATGTCAAAAGAGATGCCTTTCTGAAGGTTGGAATTCCCAAGCCACTTGTTTGCAGGAGAGACAGGTATCTTGCTTGCAGAAAAGACTCTGGACATGATTTTGCTACACATTTTGAAGCATTAATAGTCAATAAAGCAGCCTTCTCTGTGTGGAACAGAGTGCTTAGGGGTACTGAAAGTGTATTGGCCTTTTCAAGCCCTTTCTCTTCTATTTTCATGGCCTGAAGTGCTTTCCATAAAGAAAATGTAGCAAGTGAAAACTGCTTATAATCAGTGAGAATTTTATGCTTCAAGCCTGCCAGGTACAGGAAAAGACACCATTTCCAAGAAGTTCTCAAGGGTCCTTATGGCCCTGACATGCTCCAGCTGTAAAAAGGAGCCAGGCTGAAATGGAAATGAGGGCACTGGAGAGAAACAAAGAGCTGCTTCCTTCTTCTAGCATCAGTAAAACTCTCAATTTAACAGGCTAGTGATTATTGGTATTTCCAGTAATTGGTGGGATTTCAGATAGAAACCACACTGGCCTGTCTTATGTCTCTATTTATAGGCAATTAGAGGATCAGTTCCTTCAAAGGTTCTGCTGTTCATGTGCATCTGAAATGTTTGTCTGTGCCAAGATGATCAAAAGTGGGATCCAAGGTTAATTTGTAGG